ACCGATCTCCTTATTTTCCAAATTCCCACAGTAATTCTTCACAAAACTCACTTGACAACTCTGTAAGTTCTCCTGGTTTTCTAGAATCAGAAGAAAACTAAATAGTCATTTGGAAAAGAACAGTGCTAATGACCACGCCCTAAAATTATTCCACACCAAAAAGAGCCGTCCCATCAGCACAATGATCTACTCTGCCACTTACAAATTTTTCCCTGCTTAAATATTAGCATTCAACCCAATGTATTGGTACCTTAAGTTAACATTACAGTGAGACCTCATTTTTCTGTCTCACAAAGGGGTGGAGAGAAAGCAGACTTTGAATAAATTGGGTTCAGGTTACTGGATTTTTTTTATTTTAATTAAAGAATAAGGCATTTAGCTGGGAAGCAGTAGTCATTGTTTTTTTTTTGTTTGTTTGTTTTTTGTTTTTTGGTTTTTTTTAATTAAGCCATGGACCTGATACCTTGATAAATTTGTAGTGACTACATGAGCAGCCAGCAAGACCACATCAGCTTCCATCCATAGTACGAGGAATGGCAATGTCCATCGCAAAGGGAGAGGCTACAAAAATAAACCTGAAATGCATGCTAATCTCCACGTCTGTCAAAAGCTTACCCATCTCCACTCCCCACACCCCCAAGCCAGAGATGACACACACCTTCTCAGGGCTCCAGTCAGTGGTATTTCCTGAGCATACTGCTCCAAACGCACTCTCCACACACACCATGGAGGTGGGGGGTGGGGGTAATTAGAGGGTTTTTGCTTTAAACTGGAGTTATTATTTTTTATTAGCATCCAACACACTTATCATACAAAGGAGGAACCCAGTAAATAACAGTGATCTACCAAAAAGACTTTAGAAGGGACTCCACTAACCACTCAAATTGAGAACATGGCAAGTGACACACAAAAACAGAGTATTTATCCATTTGGCGCCATGTGATTATTGTTGTGGTTTGTTTGTTTGTTTCCCTTTTATTCCTCCTTGTTCCTTTGGGCCAGTGGAGTAAATCTGGCTTAAAGCAGTCCACAAAAATGGATTTTTTAGCAATACTTTAATATCTTTAAATGTACTTTTGGTTTTATTTTTCCATAGAAACACTCTAAAAGGTTCACAAGAAAGGAGCTCTAAACACGTTTAATGATTTACTTTAAAGGAAAAAGTGTTTAAAAAGCATTATTTTGAAAAGGCAGCAGCTGCTGGGTTCCACCTTCTGCTCCCTCCGACTGCATTTAGAGTAATCCTCCAAAACCATGTGAAGTGTGTGCTCCCCACCCCCAAGATATGCTCTCCACAGATCAGAATCCATTCTGCAGCCAACCGATGGCTGGGCTCCAGCCTCTCAAGGGGGCAGATGAGGCACAGAAGCGCTGACAAGCCCTCACCAGCAGCAGTGATGCAGAGCGCCAGAATAAACTCTGAAGCTGCTTCTCACGGTTGAAAGGATGAGGCACAAGCTGTTTTCTCACATCCTCTGCCTCTTAAGGTTACAACAAACCAGCCTCTGATCCAATTAAAATCCCTACAGTTTATGTTTTCGCAGAGGAGGACAAAGCAAAGATGACCGGTGCTTGCTGGGAACATAACCAGCCATGTATGGTCTTGGTTGATAAATGAAGGGTTAAAAAAGATTAAAAATTTAAGTCATGACTGCCATGAAATTGTTTATTCATGGTAAGGTGTTTTGGGCAGTTACAGCTGTACAACAGTAAATTGTTAACAACCGTTTCCTGAAGAAAGATTTCCATTATAGATCACAGATAAGACAAGCAGCAGAGTGCAATGTTGCAGGGAGAGCAACGTTCCGACCAACAGAGGATATGGTAGATGCAAGTCAAGAGGACCTACCCTTTCCTGAAATCACTTTCAAGAAAAATCGTACTTTGAGGAGGATGACATTTACCCTAATTGCCGCCTCTAATTAAAATTAAGGTAATTAAAAAAATTTCAAATGCACTTTAAATTTGATGTAAGACATAATTAAAAATCAGATTTTAAAAAATATCATTAGGACAGTTGGGTGCAGGTTGGCATACAAGAGGAAAAAAAAAAACAGTTTAGCTCTCAGAAAACAGGAGGGAAATGGCAATCTGTCAAAGTTATTATAGGGGGATGTGTTTTTTCCCTTTTTAAAGACCAGAACTTAACAACTTGGAACATCTGTGCCCTTGCCTTTCCCAAATATGCCGATGTCGAGCAGCGTTTTTTTGTGTGTCAGTCTTCTCCCCAGCAGGAGCCAGGCTGGTGAATCAGCAAAATGTCAGTATCTTCCAAAAGCTGTTACTATTATTTTGAGTTAGCAGGAATAGAAAAAAGAATGAGAGTGGTGTTTCCAGAAAGAAAATAAGTCATTTCTGTACTAATACACAGGGTAACAGGTGACCATGCGACTCTGTCAGCAATGTCGTAAATCCCACAGGAAGACTCGAGGTGCACTGGAGGAACACTGGACTGAAAATCACAGATGTGGAGTGCCCGTCTTAACCTCAAGTTAGCTGTCCAACATCTGGACCTCACACTTGTCACTAAGTAAAAACAAACAAAGTGCTCAGCTAAGTCCTCTCTAAGGTCTGATCAGATTCCGAAATCTACCCTTCTGTAGGTGAACTGAAATGTGAAGTAACAACTAGAACTCGTAGTCTCTGAATCTGTGAAGATCATTAGTGCCCTGAAAAGAGCTAGGCGTATGGCAGTTACCTGCCAAAGAAGGAATGTTTATATCCCCCCACAGATTCATATGTTGAAGCCTATCCCCAATGTGATGGTACCTGGAGGTGGGGCCCTCGGGATTAGTGTCCTAAAAAGAGACCCAGCGAGCTCCCTCACTCCTTCCACCATGTGAGGATGCAGTGAGAAAACAGCTATCTAAGAACCTGGAAGCAGACCCTCACCAGATACCAAAACTGCTGGTGCCTTGGTCTTGAACTTCCCAGCCTCTAGAACTGTAAGAAATAAATTTTTGTTGTTTATGAGCCACCCAAGTTGACGGTATTTTGTTATAGCAGCCCAAACAGACCAAGATAATGCCCAATATATATTTACTGACTGATGCTACTTGAGCAACCAGCACAGCTTATGGTTCCCAAGGGCCTAGCACAGTGCCTGGCACATCATGAGCACTCACAGCAGGTCTACTGAGTGAAATTTCATGAGACCATGTACTGAGCTCACTCAGCAACAAGTTAACTAACTAGGGTCCTTATACAACCCAGAACCCCACAGCGAACCCTGGTGAACAAAGTCATAAATCTGGGAGCTAACAGATCAATTCTTGATGCTATCTAACATTACATGAAGCATCAGAAATGTCTTAAGACAGTCCTTCAAGAAGCCTGCATTAAAATTATTCACTGATTTATTTCTATGAGAATTATCAGCCAGGCAAGAACTTAGTCAGACACGCTCTCAGGAGAGAGATTACCAGAAAGATGAAAATAACATGAAGCAGCAGCAGATTCCCTGTGAGTATCACTCAAGCAGACTAACTTCATTTGTCTCTTACCTTTGGAAATCTGGATTTAAACAGAACAACTACTAGAAGAGAATTTGGTTTAATGAACATAACCCTGTCCACAGACACATCAAAAGCCTTTGCAATAAAGCTACAGCATATCTGATAGCCAAGATAAAGTATAAAATGGTTTTGGAAGTCACGATTCAGATTCAGTGACAAGTAACATTTACTAAGTGCCTACTACGTATCAGGAACTGTGCTCAGCATTTATACACTCCTTTGATCCTCTCAGTAACACGGAAAGCTACTCCAGAGGCTGAGGCAAAATCACTTGAGGCCAGGAGTTTGAGTCCAGCCTGGGGAACATTGCAAGACCCATCTCCAAAAAATAAAATAAAATAAAATAAAAATTAGCTAGGATGGTGGCATGCACTTGTAGTCCCTCCTCAGGAGGCTAAGGAGTAGGATCACTTAAGCCTAGGAGTTTGAGGCTGTAGTAAGTTATGATTATGCCACTGCACTTCAGTCAGGGTGACAAAGCAAGACCCTGTCTCTAAAAACAAATAAAAATAACACTGAAAGACAAAAATTATTAACTCTACCTGTGCAAAGAATATAAGCTGTGGAGGGGCACCATCTTTCACACAAAAATGAGGCTGAGAGTCAAACCTAGATTGTCTCTTTAGGCCTAACATGCAATCAACAAATATTAAATGTTATTTATTATGTGTTGTACCCAGTCTTTTTTTTTTTTTTTTGAGATGGAGTCTCACTCACTTTGCTGCCCAGGGTAGAGTACAGCGGCATGATCTCGGCTCACTGCAACCTCTGCCTCCTAGGTTCAAGAGATTTTCCTGCCTCAGCCTCTCGAGTAGCTGGAACTACCAGTGTGCACCACCACGTCCCGCTAATTTTTATTTTTATATTTTTAGAGATGGGATTTTGCCATGTTGGCCAGGGTGGTCTCAAACTCCTGACCTTAAGTAATCCAACCACCTTGGCCTCCCAAAGTGTTGGGATTACAGGCACAAGCCACCACAGCCAGCCTCGCTTTTAGGAACTGGAAATATAGGAATGAACAAAACAGAATAGCTCCCCTGTCCTCCTGGACATCCAAATGTGCTTTCTACCACGGTTCACTACCTTCTCTAGTCTCAACTCCACTGGACCATCAGTTAGCAGAAAGATGCCTAAATTAACAGATTCATATCTGTCTGGCTTTGCCCCCATAAGGGGCCTTCCAATCCACATCCTAAAAAGTAAAGCTGTTAATGTATGAACAGATATATCACGATTAATTCTAGTACTAATAAGAGCAAATAGGACAATTAAGGATTGCCCAAGATTTGCAAGATTTGTTAAGAGAGAAAAACCAGATTTTCAAATGAGTAAAAAGCACTGTGTGTTTCAAGATAGAAGATAATTAGACTGGAAACAGAACATCAGATTTTACAGCACACATCTACAAAGAGAGACAGGAGAGAGAGTAAATAGCACTTCCCCACCATGTCAGCTTTCCTACTGAGGTCAGATCTGAAAGGATATCTGTATTATCATGTCCAAGCAAGCCAAGAAGCGACTGTACGGCATTCAGCTCCACCAGAAGGTGGTACAGGTCTGGCATGGTGGCCACCACGTGCATCTCCTGAATGATGTCATTTAGGTCCAGCTCGGATTCCATGAACCTAGGAGGGAAAACAAGACATCATTAGAAGTAAAGGAGCACTATCAGCAATGAGGAGCAAACAGCAATAATCTAGACAACAAGACGATCTGTCAAAGTGTCTACAACAGACCAACCAAGAAGTACACTCATCCAAACACCATACTGTCACACAATTTCCTTGGGAAATCGATTTCCTCATTACAAAAATCAATCTTGGATTCAGATCTCATTACAGGGTTCCCTTACTCTTGCAGTCACAGGCTGCCTTTCAGAGGCTCCCAAAGCATTTTGTAGCACTAAACGATCTGCCCACCAGTCCTATAGATTCGCTACCATTACCCCTTGGTGTGGCAATTCACTCTGTTGCCCTGAACACAGTTATCCTACTACCCATCCAAAAAGGGTTTCTCTTACTTCCCACTTCAGATCAAGGGCCAGTTATTCCCCTTACCCAAAGGAAGATAAGATTTTCTGTATCTAAAAATACCCTCCCTCTCCCTCCTCTTTGGAGCTGATTCAGAGGCAGATACCAAAGAAAAGCAGACCTAGTCTCTGGCATTCTACAATCACCACCAACTTTACACAGCATGATACTTTACTCACATTTCTACACCTGAACCTTTCAACAAACCTACGCCCAGGCGCTAAGAACAGAACTACTTTGCATTCACGCTGCATGCCCTCCCCCGGTGTTTGACATATAAGAAACGCCGATTAAGCCTTGGATGAACAAGACAGGAGGGTTTGTTCTGAGATGGAAATGAGCTAATCTGGCGTAAGGCAATTGAACAATACCCGACTGAGAGTGACTGAGAGGAAGCAGTTTTTAAACTGACTCTGGAGTCAGACTATCTGGGTATGAACCTGGCTTAGCCACCTACTTAGCCTCTCTATGCCTCGGTTTCTTCTGTAAATAGGGACAATAATGTTACCTGTCTCACAGGGCCGCTGTAAGGAGTAAATGAGTAAGGACATATAAAGCATTGAGAACAATGTCTAGCATAAAAAAGCACTATGTAAGTGTTTGTTCTCTTTACTATTGCTGCTACTATTACTGTAATATGTCTATCTTCTCTTCTTGAAAGTAAACTTCTTAAAGACAGGAACTATATCTTTGTCTCTTATATCCACAGATGCCTACTGAATTAAATCGAGGGCGCAAAGAAAAGCGACACAAACAGGGACTCTTGAAGTCACACAGGACTCATCAACTTCCAGATGCTGTCAGTCTGGGTAGATACAGCTTCTCCAAAAATCTGCAGTCAGTAAGGAACAAAATCTAGAGACTTAGAATTCTTTAAAACATGTCTATATTTTAGACAACATCTATTATTGTTTTTCTCCATTAGTATTTTTAATTATATGCTTATATATTTTTTCCCAGTTATAATATACTTCTAGTAGAAAACCAGGGAAAGAAAAGCAAGCCCTCAAAAACGTAAACAAATCATCCATAAGCCTACTAACCAAAAATAACCATTGAAAATACTCTGTATGTTTAAGCCTTTTTCTCAACTCACAGACCTTTAAATTCTATTTTAGTGTATGATATAAGGCAAAGATCTAACTTTATTTTCTGTGAATGTTTGACCAACTGCTTTAATACCATGTATGTTTGCCTGTATGTTTAAGTCATTTTTCTCAACTCACAGACTTTACCCCACAAAAGTAAGCCTATATAGTATATAGTTCTATATTCAATTTTTGCTGCTGTTGTTAATATAGGCTAAATAATTCCCCTTATCATTATTCTACTACAATAGGATAAGCCAATACCTGACAAACTGCTATAGGTTCCTTCTTCTACATGGCAAAATCCCTCACTCACCACAGCACTCTTCCCTGCTAAGCTGACATCGCTGGCCTCAGAATCCTTCTCAACACAGTGTTCCAAGAACAGACTATGAATCAATCACAGGCTGGGTGTGGCAGATTAAGTTTATCTACAATCCCTGTTCTAAATCATAAATTAATGGCCACATAGTATTCCCTTGAGTAGATATACCGTGATTTAACTAACCAATCCCCCTTTGTCAGGCATTCAGATAATTTCCAATTTTTTTTCCCTTTAACAAATGACACTAAGATGCATATGCATTCCTAATTATTTTGTTAGGATAAATTCCCAGGAAGGAAAGGGCCAAGGCAAAGAGTATGAATGACTTAAATAGATTTTGATATATTTTGCCAGAAAGTACCAATAGCACATGAAGTGCCTGTTTCCCCTTACCCTCTTCACAAAGAGTATTTCCTCCAATTTGAGATAGAAAAGAAAATTCATTTTGTATTTTGCATTTCTGATAGTAAGATGGTTAACATTCTTGTAATGTTTACTATTTGTATTTATTCTTTGCCCATTCCTATTAGGAGGCTCATTTTGTTTATAGATTTATAAACACTGTATATTAAGGAAATTAATCTCTATTCTATGCTGCAAAAAAATAAAGTGCCCTTTAATTTGTACATTGTGCTTTTTGATATAAAGGCTTTTTTTTCCTTTTGACATAAAGGTTTTAAAAAGTTCAAGTAGCAAAATCTTTGCCTTTATGAACTCTACTTTACAGGTATCCTGAGCAAAATATTTTCTATGCTAAAAGAAGATATATTTTATGGTGTACTTTTATGTTTATATATTTAAATATTTAATCCATCTGAAATTTATTTTAGTGTATTGATACAGGGCACGGATCTAACTTTATTTTCTGCAAATATCTGGCCAACTGCTCCAATACCAAATCTATCCTTTCCCCACAGATTTAAAAAAATGTCATCTATCATACACTAAATTTTAATCTGTACTTTAATCTGTTTCTGGGCTCTTCACTCCATTTCATTGATTCGTCTGTGAATGTCTGAGTCAGGACTACACTTTCACATTGTTATAGCTTTATAGTATGTTTTATGTCTGTTGCTGCAAAACACTCCCTTGTTGTTTTTATCTTTTAGTGTTTCCTTGCCTGTTCTCACTTATTATTCCAAGTAAATTTCATAATTATTTTAGCAAGATTTTCCCCCAATACCTTTTTTTTAAAAAGCTCCCTTCTCTGCTTGCAAATAGATTTTTTTTTTTAGATCACTTGAAGTGTGGAAGCTAAATCAGAATCATGACTCAGTAAGGCTGGTGCAGAAAGATTCAAATAGTCCATGGGCCAGGAGATCTATATAATCCTTGAACCTAAAGGCCTCAACAAACCTCTAAGGCTTATTTGCCTTATGTGAATGTGTATATACAAGATTTCTGGAGAACAACCTGACAAAAGGTTTTTCCAGTTCACTTGGAAGAACCGGCAAGGGAGACTGGGCACTAAACAGTAAAAAACAAAATCGTGCTGAGTGCAGGATAAGATCTGGTGATTTGGGTGATCAACAGCCAACGTGATGGCTCATGCCTGTAATCCTAGCACTCTGGGAGGCCAAGGTGGGCGGGTCGCCCGAGGTCGGGAGTTTGAGACCTGCCTGGCCAACACAGTGAAACCCCATTGCTACTAAAAACACAAAAATTAGCCAGGTGTGGTGGTGCACACTCGTAATCCCAGCTACTTGAGAAGCTGAGGCAGGAGAATTGCTTGAACCTGGGAGATGGAGGTTGCAGTGAGCTAACATCGTGCCACTGCACTCCAGCCTGGGCGATGCAGCGAGACTCTGTCTCAAAAAAAAAAAAAAAAAGTGAAAGACTGTCAGTCACCTGGAGGGGTCTGTGCTTAGTCCTGTTTAGATCAAGTAATTTATTATTATTTTTTAATCAATAACATGAGCAAAGATATATAAAAGGCAAAACGAAAAAATGTTATATGACACAAAGCTTAAAGAGACAGTAAGCACAGCAGCTGACAGAATCAATTCAAAAGTTCCTGACAGGCAATAATAATGTGCCAAATCTAACCAAAGGAAAATTACCTGGGATCCACACAGAAAACTGCAGGGAACCAAAAAGTCAAGTACAAATGTGAAGGCTGGGAGAGATACAGTTTCATAAGGGCACATGTGTTTCTTTCCGAACTTGATGGCTTTAGTGAACCATAACTGTGACACAAATCAGAACATGAGACAGTTCTGCCAGAGACAATTCCTTATTCATCTCTGGACATCCAGCACCTGACGCAGGCCTTGGTCCAACACAGAAACTTGGGAGATGCCTGTAAATGGGGGCACAGATGAAAACAGCTGCCACAAGGTGGTTTTAGGGTACTTAAAAGAGAACAATACAGAGTTACACTGATTTAATGACCCTAAAACTTCATGACATCTGTTCAAGGAACCATCTTTTAGGAGGGATGTGGAAACCAATTCAGGGAAATGACCAAGATTCTAAGGAGTCTAGATAGATTTCATATACGAATTTGTTGAAATGCTTTCTCATTCTGAGTTGAAATTTTAAGAGCCAAAGATGCCAAATGATGGAATAGCTTTCTTTGGAAAGTTAGATCCTTCTCACTGGGATAGTTAATAAAGGGTAACATTTAAAAAAAAAAAAAAAATACCAAGAGTTAGATGGTAGAATAGACTGTGCTTCTCAAGTTCCTTCCAACTTTGAGACTCTTCTTCCAAATATGGTCTCAACCCAATGCTTTTAAGTTCAGGAAGTCAGAAAATTATCAAAACAAAACAAACAAGCAGAGAATAAAATTGCAAGCAGGGAAATACTACAAAAATATACTGGGTCCAGTGTTACGTGAGTAACAAGATATCGTGAGAAATGCTGGACTTGGGAATGAGATTGACCTGGGTCATACTCCCAGCCATGCTATTTACTAGATGTGTGGCCATGAACAGTGAATTGACAAATATTTACTGGGCACATACTAGGTGCCAGTCATTGTGTTAGGCACTGAGGATATAACAGATAAAATAATCCCAGTTTCTGGCCTCCATCAAATATAAATAATCTATTACAAACAATTAATTATAAGGGTGCCTGGCACTACCCAAGAGAAGTGTCACTGGAACACAGAGTGTGGTGTCCCAACCTGATCAAGGAAGACACAGAATATTAACTAACTTATTGCTAGACCCTGATTTCCTTATCTTCCTAAACTATAGTGAGGATTAAAAGAGATAATATATATACAGTGCCTAATAATAGCTGGCATATAGTAAGTACTCAATGAATCTATGTACCCTCAAGTTTGTTATGCTGTCACAGTCGTCTTCTGTTTTGCCTGACCAAGCACAGCCTACTCAGGAGCCTATTCATTTAAAGCACACACTACTATTTGCAGAGAACTGTCTTTAGGAATTAGGCATACTTTCAGCAATAGATGACTCACAGCTGGGGGAAAGGATCAAGTTAGAGGTGACGGGAAAGCAATAGAGCAACATATTAAAACAGTAACCCAGGCTGAGACGGGGTCATCGATTCCATCTGATATGACAGAGAATATTTTCCTAGCCTGCCCATGTGCATTTGCTTCAGACCAGCAGGATATTCTCCTTCAACCACAGGGGTGAATATCAGCAAAAGACCAGCAAAGCTCAAAAACACTGGGAAAGCTGCAGAAATTGACAAGTCCTAAATGCAATCACTGGTGGGGAAACATGATGCTCCCTCCATCGAACTAAATCAGCAGTTCTCAAAGTGTAGTCCCTAGGACCCCAGGATGGGGTAGTGGGGTGGCTGGAGATCCTTTCAGAGAACTATAAGATCAAAACTATTTTATAATATATCTCAGACACCATTTGCCTTTTTCACTCTCATTCTCTCAGGAGTGTACAATGGAGCTTTCTGAAGGGCTACATGACATGATGACATCATTGCCCTGATGGCTAATGAAATGTGTGCTTGTCTACTCTTGTATTTTCCAGAATTTTCTAAGCACTTTGGGATATTCCATAATTTAAGAGTACAAGGAGATCCTGAGACCAAAAAGGTTGAAAATCAGTAAACTAAGTAAATCTGTCCCTGCAAAAATAAAGAGAAGAACAATTAAAGGACTTTCTAGGGAAACAGCACACTCCAGTCAAGGTGGTGTTTGGGAGAAAGACTGCGCGGTGCAAACTGGAGGTTGCGTAAGGAGAACTGTCAACTGAATCTGAAATGCAGTCCAATGAAGAGAGGCATTTTTGGGTACGCGATCAAAATGACAATTGGATATATGGGAAAATAAATTTGAATGTTTCTGATCTCAACTGGAAAGTTTCATCCGAATACGCTCTAGCAATTTTCATCTTAATTGCACCTCGCTGATCTAGAGAATTATGAAAGACACTGCACCAGTAAGAATTCAAGAACTCAAGGTTAAAACACAAGGTAGTTTCCTAACTGCTTTTTGACATGAAAAAAAAGTTCTTTATGCATAATTTCAATTTTCATATGTTCAATTCTAAAACTAAAATATTGTATACATTGTCTGAATCAAAAACACTACTGATTTTTTAAAATAAAATCACACTGTCTTAAAACCAGTTAATGAACTGTAACACTAAGTACCTAAGATGTAGATGGTGAACATAACCTGCAGAAACTCTGCTCCATATTGACAGACGTGTATCTACCAAGTGGGCAAAGGAAATACCGGTGTTCAAAGAAGTAAGCTGAATTTCTTACATTTCCCGTGTTATTAACCTGCAGCATAGCTTCTTCATAATGTATCCTTAGGTTCAAGCAATGGGGACGTAATAAAGACAACAGGCACTACATAAGCTCTCTTATGCTTATTGAGCACCTACAGCAAGGCAAGTACTGTGGTAGGCACTAGAGACAAACAAGATACAGTCCATCTCCTAAAAGGAACAGAGTATAATGCAGGAACCACTGAGTACAGAAATAACAACAAAACAAATGGCAAAGATGTTAAAGACTGATCACACGCATTGTGGGCAAGAACACAAGAAAAGAGATGCTGCTGCTGGAGGAGAATTTAAAAATAGAGTGAGAAAGGCCGGGCGCGGTGGCTCAAGCCTGTAATCCCAGCACTTTGGGAGGCTGAGACGGGTGGATCACGAGGTCAGGAGATCGAGACCATCCTGGCTAACACGGTGAAACCCCGTCTCTACTAAAAAAATACAAAAAACTAGCCCGGCGAGGTGGCGGACGCCTGTAGTCCCAGCTACTCGGGAGGCTGAGGCAGGAGAATGGCGGGAACCCGGGAGGCGGAGCTTGCAGTGAGCAGAGATCCGGCCACAGCACTCCAGCCTGGGCGACAGAGCGAGACTCCATCTCAAAAAAAAAAAAAAAAAAATAGAGTGAGAAAATTAGCAGTAGCCATCATTAAAATGTACATACCCTTCAATCCGGGAATTCAAAATGTACGTATCTATCCTACGGAAACATATGCACACAAAGACACATGTACAAGTAGGTACACTATAGCATTCTTCATAAAAGTCAATATTTAAAATAATCAAATGTCCATCAATAGAAAATAATTAAATAAGTCATGGTATTTCCAAACCATGAAATACTATGCACCAGTTAAAAAAACACAAGGTAGACATGCCTGTACTACCATGGACAGATCTGTTATATGACCCAAAAGATCAAGGTGCAGAATATGTACAGTGTGATTTGAGTAGAAACAAATACATTCGCATAATTAACTGTTCACAAGGTTCCTCTAGGCAGAGGAATAGAAAGAGATCAGAGCAGTGAAGGAGAACTTTCATTTTTCACTCTACTCATGTACCACTGGTATTTTCAGAATGACAATCTATTCATGCATTACTCGTGTAATTACACACACACACACAAACACACACACACACACACAGTGCTCCTGTATGGTGGAGATCAGTACAAAACCTGAAAGGACTCTGGTGCTGGGTAAGCTGGGCCCTGCTCTATTAATAGCTATTCCTACTATCAAAGAGGGCTGTGGCCCTAGGCCCAGTAACCACATTCTCCCCACCCTGCCTTCTCATTCACAGCATAGGGACAACACAGTTGACCACGTTGGCCTCACTAGGTTGCCATGAAGACTCTGTGCCCTCTGACACCTCTGGGCCTTTGTTCATGCTCCTCATATTGCCTGGCATGCCTTTCTGTGTTCTTTTCTGCCTAATAAAAATGAATCTTCAAGGCTCAACTCAACTACTATCTTTTCTGTGACGCCCTCAATAGCCCCCAACTTGGTATATACTGTTTCTTCTTCTAAGCACCCACAGAACTCTGCTCATATCTCTTTTCAAGTGTCTGTTTCCTTCTACCTTGCCTTTATAGTCAGTCTCCCTAGTAACCTATAAACTTGAGTGCAAAGACTGTACTACTCAACTGTTAATTGCCTGGGGGCCTTGGGCATATTAAGATTCATTAAAATTGTATGTCCTGGGAGGGACAAAGATAGGGAGAGAAAGAGAGGTTTAGAACATTAAAACTGTATAAATGTGAAAGTCCCCTTGGTTAGGATTCAAGACAGACTGAAAGATGCCAGATTCCTCATATCAGCACTTCACAGTGCACCAAGGTGCTAGTGCAGTAAAACTCATGTTAACTGTCATCTCATGGGCACCTACTATGTGCCAGGTACTAAGCTAAACACTTACCATTATTCTCCTTTAATCTTCATACAACTCTGAGAGGAAGGCATTATTTCCTTAGACAGATGAGACACCCAAGGCTAAGAAAGGGGAAGTGACTTATTCAGAGGCATGTGTGTATCACACCAATATTTGTCAAACTTCAGAGTCTTTGACATGATCTCCACAGTAAAGCTATCACTAATGGCAGGCACGATCAGTCTTCTTTGGGCATTGAAAAGAATAATGCAGGAGAGTTAACATAGCAGGGCTGATCTTGAAAAGGGCTGGCTTACAAGGCTGGCCCTAGGCTGGCAGCCAGGAACTTGGCTTTTGAAATGTTCCCTAAGTGATAAGGTTGCTGCTTTGTCAGCCCAGGGCACTGAACAGCTGCTTTCCTTCCAGGAGCCTACAATTTTGTTAGTTATTACTGGCAGAAAATGCCTACATGACCAGTCCTCCATAAAAACCCTGAACTCAGAGTCTCAATCAAATGGTCTTCCCTGGACAGCATCACTGCACATATGTTGATGCATTTCACTGCTGAAGAAAGAAGCATGTCTGTATGATCCCACCCACTGGGAAGGAGAAAACATAGGAAGCCTGTATCTGAATTTCTCCAGACGCCACCTGATGTTGTGTTTCTCCCTTGCTGATCCTGTTGTGTGCCCTGTGTAATAAACCACAGCCCTGAGTATCACTGACTTTGAGTCCTAGGAGTCCTTCTAGTGACTTCCCAAACATGGAGGTCATCCTGGGATTCCTGGCCCAAATCACAAAAGCCAAAACAAACCAAACCCAAAACAAAAGTAGCCAACGAAACGCCACAGAGGAGACACGGTGTCAGTAGAACAGAACCTTACTTCTCTGGATTGTCTGGAAACTTAATCCGCAATTCTTGGTTTTTATATGATCTCTTTTCAAATGTGAGGATCATTTTCTTCACTGAGCTTTCATCCAATGGCTCCTCCTGGTACAAAGAGACAAATGCAACAACTTCAGTCCCCAGGGGTTTCACATTCACTGTCACTACTTTCCGGTGGCTCTTATACCCCACCTCATTCTGCCATTGATCTTTCTGGGTTAAATGTACAGTACACACCTTTTTTTCTGAGATGGAGTCTCGCTCTGTCGCCCGGGCTGGAGTGCAGTGGTACGATCTCACCTCACTGCAACCTCCACCTCCCAGGTTCAAGCAATTCTCCTGCCTCAGCTTCCTGAGTAGCTGGGACTACAGGCACACGCCACCACACCTGGCTAATTTTTTTTTGTATTTTCAGTAGAGACGGGGTTTCACTGTGTTAGCCAGGATGGTCTCGATCTCCTGACCTCATGATCCACCCACCTCAGCCTCCCAAAGTGCTAGGATTACACGTGGGAGCCACTGTGCCCGGCCACAGTACACACTTTATCTCCCCAATTACAATGAGGAGTAAGGGCCTGTAGTCACATGCTGCTTTTTGTGTATATCACTTTCGATGTCTCACATAATGCCCACTATCTGTAACACAGGAAATTCAGCTTGAGGTGTTAAACACTGACTGGGCACTTCGGCACTTCAGCACTTCAGGAGGCCAAGATGGGTGGATCACCTGAGGTCAGGAGTTTAAGACCAGCCTGGCCAACATGGCAAAACCGTATCTCTACTAAAAATACAGGCACACGCCTGTAGTTCCAGTTACTCGGGAGGTTAAGGCACAAGAATCACTCGAACCCTGGAAGCGGAGGTTGCCGAGATTGTGCCACTGCACTCCAGCCTGGGTGACAAAGGGAGACTCCGTCTCACAAAAAAAAAAAAAAAAGAAAAGGTGTTAAAGACTCACTCATTCAACAAACATTTCTTGAGCACACTGTATGGCACAGAGTAAGCAACAATATTAGATAATATTATTACACATTTACCTTGTCTTCCTTTGCTATACATGTAAGATAAGACTGAAAGGTTTAAAAGAATTGTTTAAGGTCAAACTCTGGGTCAGTGACAGTGACCCTTAATCTTTTCCTACAGCAGAAGTTGGCAAACTGCAGCCCATGAGCCAAATCCAACCTACTGCCTGTTTTTGTACAGTGCGTTAACTAAGAATGGTTGTTAATTAGCTACAGTCACTGCTTAGTATTTCTTATATATTACTTTGCCTGGTCCTTACTAGATGCTGAGAAGGAATTCAGACAGGTACTTTGAATCCTGAAGTAGCATCAAGAATTTAGTAACCCTGCCTAGAGAATGCAGAAAAAAGCTAGTAGACCATACAGAATTTTCTGGCTTCATACATTGGAATAATACCTATGAAAGCAAATAAAATGAATATTTCAAAACTAAATCATTTTTTCTCCAAAAAATCTACACTAAAATTTCACACATTTTATCTTCAGTTTACCTTCCAGTTTAAATTAGTGTGCTGCAATGCACCCTGCTTCTCTCAATACTATCCCAACTCAAAGCTTCACAGCTTTGTAGTCATTGACCATAACTCACGCCTAAAAGCGATAAAGAAACTGCTATTAAGAGAACCTGAAATAGATCCTTTTGGAAAGCACTGAATCATTCCATAATTTTATAAGTACTCAAAAATGTTAGCTATTATTCTATTATTAAATTTCTATTTCCACATATTGGGCTTTAAGTGGGAGCTACCCATAAATTCATTTTCGGCATAACACATTTCTTAGATTATACCAATGATTCCTAGATCCCAAGGTTCTTTATCGAACCCCTACCTCCTCCCCAGGGTCTACAGCTTAAAGAGAGGTTCCCTGATGTGGTAAAAACAAGTCAGAGTCCTGGCTCAGTCAAGACTCAGAGCCTAATTTCACTACTTACTAGCCATGTGACAATGTTACTTTGCTGAATATATTCCTCAAAGCTTCATCAAGTCCAGCTAATTCTAACTCCTAAATCTTTCCTGAATTCATCCACCACACACTGAAAATAAAATCCCAAACCCCTCACATGATCTATGTAAGGATCTGGCAGGATCTGCCCAGATAATCTCTCCAACTCCAAACCAGGGCAAAGACCCCCATTGCTAGCCCATGTCTACTTGTTCTGTGGCACAAGTAGACTCTCCAGTGTCTGGCACACAGCAGGTACTCCGTGAAGATCTGAGGAAGGAAAGAAGGAAAGAAGGAAGGGAGGAAAGGAGGAAGGGAGGAAAGGAGGAAGGGAGGAGGGGAGAGGAGGGGAGGGGAAGGAAGGGGAGGGAAGGGGAGGACAGGCGAGGGGAGGGGAAGGGAGGGGAGGAATGAAAATGTTACCTGTATCTCTGAAGGTCATAGAGATGACCTAAAGAAAATATGTACATAAAAGTGCTTTGTAAACTACATGAATGCAAGCTGTTATGGTTATTATTAGCAACAGGCACACTGTACCCAACATCCCACTAGAATTTAACTAAAATAATCAAAACATTTCTAGGAAAGGGTTAAATCACTTTCAAGCAAGCTCAATATCTGCTACTTTTCTTTTTCTTAGCTAACATCGTGCCCCACTCTGGAGAAAAACCACATTAGTGTTAACACAGCTCTCACGGGATTTCCGAAGTCCTAGCCTCTCCAGAGTTTGGCCTTCCCTCCTTTAATTTCTCTCCAACACTGGGGGAAACTGAATTATCAGTCTTAGTCATCAGCCACAGCAGTATCTCCAATAGCTCAACGTCAGAAACCAGAGGGAGATTTCAGAAAGATGAATGCTGGTGATGTAGCACAAAAAGGACAATAATATTTTACAAGTTCACGTGACTTTACAGGGGCAAGCATCACTTGTTGTTCATCAAATGGGACTTTGGTGGCAGTGAGAAAATAACTCCTGGACTTGTAGCCTTCCATGTGTCATTTTTACAAAGTGATCTCTTTTTCCCTGTCCCTTAACAGAAGGGCTGGTCCCACATTACATTTCTGTCTCCCAGGCTAGAAACCACTTACCCATGACAGCTACTATCCTAATCCTCCAGTACCAGCCTTGCCCTACATGGGAATTATACCTGCCAATTAACTGCTGCTGCAGGGCTAACAGATTGAGCAGAAGCTGGTGAGGAGGGAAAGGAGGGAGGATGTGCTACACACACTGTTTGTCTAAGCCCTGGCAAGGCTGCTGCCCTCAGAGAGGAAATTCAAAAATTCAGGACTGTCTCCCACCACATATTTCTAAAGTGCCATCATCTTTTAGGGGCAGACCCCCAAATTAACACTAGTACAAATCCTAATAAGGAAATAGGTACTGTCACAACACAGTAAAGACCTTTTTGGAATATGAATTCATTTTTTCTTCTTCTCAGATTCACACGCCAGCCTCATTTTTTAAATCCAAACTTAGCATTGTGTCTTTGAGGGAACCAAAAAACAGCTGGCTCTTAAGAGTCTATTTCCATAATTCATATTGAACAAAATGCCAGAGTGAAATAACATACAAGTTAACACTTAAAGATTTAAAAAGACACAGAGGTAAGGTCATTTCGTTTTTAATCACTGATATTTTACCTCCACTCTTCCCAGCTTCATTCATTTATCCATTCAATAAATATTTATTAAGGGCCCACAAGAGCTAGGTATTGCTCTGGGTACCAAAGATAGAGCTATGAACAGAACAGAGCCAGTCTCTGTTTTCATGGGAGGTTGGGAGGAGGACAGCAATGAGCACAATAAACAACTAGAATTTCAAATCATGATACATGCTGTGCAGACAATATACAGAACACAGTGATGAGGGAATGAGAGAACGGCTTGCAGGGCTACACAGGAAAGACTTCTTGGAAGAGGAAACATCTCACTGAGACCTGAATGTGAAGAAACCAGCCATACAAAGCATCAAGGAAGAAGAGCATTCCAACAGAGGGCACAGAGGTCCGAAGGTCCAGAGGCAGGAATGAGTGGAAAAGCCCCAAGGCATCTTGGGGAACAGCAAAGAGAAAGGCCCTGAGGAGTCTCCTTCCCTAAGCTGTACTTTTGCAGTCACATCTAAATACCTAACAATGTGGCACTCCCTTAAACTTCTCCACTTTTGTTGCTTTGCTAATACCACCATTTTCTCTGCCTAAAAAGCCCTTCCTTCCACTTGATAAAATTTGACCCCTCTTTCAAAGGTAATAACACAAGTGCCTTCTATGTGTCCTCAGTAAGATCCAGGAAGCCTGCCCTGACCCTCCCCTACAGTACATAATAAGGAATAATTCGAAAACTCTGTCTTGTTCTTTACATCTCGCAAGATGCTTTCCCAACTGCCCTAGCCCACTTAACCTTCACATTAACGCGATGAAATATGAATTCTTAACCCCATTTTATAGATGAAGATGGGAAGCTCAGACAAGCTGAGTATTTGGCCCAAAATTACATTCTATAGGGCCAGCCATCTCAGCTCCCACCCATCGCTGCCACGTTACCTCTTCCTCTTCCTCTTCCCCATCTCTGTCAATAATCTGAAGCAGCCTTTTTTTGTCATCATCCGCTTCTTCCACCACAGTCATTTCTTCTTCCCGATAGCGGCCACGTTCTCGAGTACCAGTTTGTTTCCGACGCATCTTCTGCTCCTCCTCTTCATCATCCCGGGGACGTTTTGTGCCCCTATTGGGCTGAGAGAAAAGAAACACAGGATTTTAGAGCTGGACATGACATAGAAGCTGGGCATGGTGGCTCACACCTATAATCCCAGCACTTTGGGAGGCCAAGGAGGGCAGATCTCTTGAGCCCAGGAGTTTGAGACCAGCCTGGGCAACATGGTAAAACTCTAACTCTACAAAAAATACAAAAAAAAAAAGACTTTGCAAGGCATAGACAGCAAATATCCTAAAAGCTTTCAAGAATTCTCTGACTCAAAAGCAGCCAGCATACAATTTCTCCCACCACATGGAGTAAAGCTCTATGTGGTCATTTTTCAGATCCTTAATGATTCTATAAATATACCATGAAAGTCAGTGGGAATTTTTTTATACACAGTTTTGCCATTTCACAAAAGTTCCTATGTATATGGAAATAGCAACAAAGCTATCTTAAGATGGTGACGCCGGGTCAGGCTCATGTACTAGTCAAGATTTAACTCCCAATGTCAACCTCTTAGCACCTGGTTTTAATTCACATCTATGAAAGATTACAAAGCCTTTTCTATAGTTACTCACAAGTAGTCCAAATATAAAATATTACATATGTAACTTCTGAATGTCTACTGTACTCCCAATTCTATTTTACAGAAGAGTTGAGTTAAGGCCCAGAGCCTGGGCAAAGGACCTAAATAGACACTTCTCAAAAGAAGATATACAGATGGCCAGAAGATACATGAAAAAAAATGCTTACCATCACTAATCATCAGGGAAATGCAAAGAAAAACCACAATGAGTTATCATGTCACACCTATCAGAATGGCTATCACGAAACAGACAGAAGATAAAGTGTTGTTGAGGGTGTGGAGAAAAGAGAACTCTGTGCACTGTTGGTGGAAACACAAATAAATACAGCCATGATGGAAAACAGATGGAGGTTCCTCAAAAAATTAAAAACAGAATTATTATATGATCCAGCCATCCCACTTTTGGGTATGTAACCAACAGAATCGAATTCAGTATGCTGAGAAGATATCTGCCCCGTGTGTTGTAGCGTTATTCACAATAGCTAAGATATGGAAGCAACCTATACGTCCGTCACTAGATGAATGGATTAAAAAAAGTATATATACACAATAGAATTCTACTCAGCTCTAAAAAGCGGGGAAATTCTGACATTTGAGACAATCTAGATAAAACTGGAAGACATTAAGCTAAGCGAAATAAGCCAGGCACAGAAAGACAAATACCTCGTAATCTCACTTGTATGTGGAATCTAAAAAAGCTGAACTCATAGAAGTAGAGAGTAGAATGATCGTCACCAGCGGCTGTGGAGGAAGGGAATGGAGGGAAATGTTGACTGAAGAGTATAAAGTTTCAGTAAGGCCAGGCGTGGTGGCTCACACCTGTAATCCCAGCACTTTGGGAGGCCAAGACGGGCAAATCACCTGGGGTCGGGAGTTCAAGACCAGTCTGACCAACATGGAGAAACCCTGTCTCTGCTAAAAATATAAAATTAGCCAGGCGTAGTGGTGCATGCCTGTAATCCCAGATACTTGGGAGGCTGAGGCAGGAGAATCCCTTGAACCCGGGAGGCGGAGGTTGCGGTGAGCTGAGATCGTGCCATCGCACTCCAGCCTGGGCAACAAGAGAGAAACTCCGTCTCAAAGAAAAGAAAAGAAAAGAAAAGAAAAGAAAAGAAAAGAAAAGTTTCAGTTAAACAGGAAGATAAGCTTTAGTAACTTATTGCACTGTATGCTGAATATAATAAATAATGCACTGTACATTTAAAAATTGATAAAACAGATTTTAAATATTTTCACCACAGAAAAAATATTAAAGGTGATGGATTTGTTAATTAGCTTGATGTAATCATTCCACACTGTAGACATATATCAAAATACCACCTTGTACTCCATAAATATATACAATTATTTGCTAATTAAAAGTTTTTAAATCAAATATAATAATAATAATAATAATAATAAAAGCCCAGAAGCCAAATATTACATAAGATCACAAAACCATTAACGCACCACTGAAAACAGAACTGGCACTTCCAGACTCCTAGGCCAAGGACCTTTCTACCGTACTCTGTTAGGACCTCATTTTGCCTTTTATTGTTGTTGTTGTTTACTTTTTAGAGATGAGGTTTCACTATGTTGCCTAGGTTGGACCTGAACTTCTGGACTCCAGCAATCCTCCTGCCTCAGCCTTCTGAGTAGCTGAGACTACAAGTGTGTGCCACTGCAGCCAGCTCATTTTGCCTTTTACAATGCAATCAATTAAGAAGTTCTTAGTGTTGTTTTCCATTAAATTAGAATAAAACAGAGCAGTAGTGAAAGGGGCTTCAGAGCTGAAGAGACAGAGCACTGCCCAGACACCAAACAGCCCAGTGTCTCCATTCAGCTCAACTTACTCCTGATTCGACTCTGGGCCGGTCGCCTACCTCTCTAAACCTTAGTTTCCTTATCTGTAAATGGACATTATAATTCTTTCCTCTGTGAACTTCAAGTGAAAGAATTCTAAACCATAATGGTATTAAATAAATACATAAAATCATCACTGTGAGGTAATCCACAGGATTCTGTCTTCTCCAACAAAACATTTGTGTTAGATTCTTCAATGAGATTTTCTTTATCTGATATAGTAATCACACCCACCAGCAATATGCTTGGTGCAATGTGGTCCGTTACTACCAAACAGAAGAAAATGCCACTTTCACTGCCAGCCTGCTAAGTTGTTTGGTAATAAGAGAAAATTTTCTATTATACATGTTACACATCTTCCCTTTTGACTTTTATTGAACTGTACTCTGCCAGTGGTAGAAAGTCATTCCCCTCTTTATTCATGTTTCCTGCTTGCTCCACATCCCAGGTGCTTTAGTAAGTCTGAGCATATGACATTGTTGAGAAAATTCGCATTCGACAATTTAGTTTGTAGGGTACCACCTGCTATTTTTCACTCTCTTCCTAGTCTCCCTGAGCTAGATGATAATTTCATATGAACACACTCTATTTTCCATAAGGACAAAAATTACAAAAATCTACTATCATCATTACTACTCTACCCTAAAAAAGAAAAATAAAAAGGAAAGCAACATGCCAGTAACCACAGACAAGCTACAATAAAAAAGGAGGTAGTGGTTTTCATGTAAGAAGAGGAAGGGAAGGTAGATTCATCCTAAAGGAGGGCAGCCTTCCAACCGGAAATCTGTAGCTCCTCAGCAGGTAAGGAACTTCAGCCCTCTGGGAAGACTAATTCTTTCAAGCTCATAAAAGAAGCCCTGCTGCGATTCTGATTAGCGTGAGCCTACTGCAGCAGCCAAGTCAAGGCATGAGCTCCATAGTTCTCCACGGAAAGGAGATTTCTAGATTGTTTATCTCCGAGGAGAGAAAGAAAAGGCAGTGGGCCACAATTAAAAGGAGAAAGCTAAATATTGCCACAGTTAAGAAATGCAAAATAGAAAAATACACTAGCAATGTCTCTTTAAACACATCCTCCAATCCTCTCCTTTAAAACAAACATTTCAGAAGTCAGGGGAGGACGGCCACTGCACTCCAGCCTGGGCGACAGAGCGAGATTCCGTCTCAAAAAAAAAAAAAAAAAAATTCAGGGGAGGAGTTTCATTTATTAAATTCCCATTAAAATGGCACTTTTCTTCTGCAGAACTTCAGTCTTCACCACATCTCTGGCAGTGAGAAGTAGTTAACAGCTCTATTTTATAAGCAGTAAGACAGGATGCCTAAGATCTTTTAATAAACTCTTGCAAAGACAACCTGGTCCCTTCTCAAAGTTGAATCTGATCTCTGGAGAACTGCCAATCTGCCAAGATTCCAGGACCCTAACTGAGACAGATCTGAGGAATTTTCAGGCAAGAACATTCACCTATAAATATGTCACATAAGACCTTGGTTACATTAAAACAATACTTTTTAAATCATTAATTCAACAAATAACTTACTAAAGAGTCATAACGCTTGAAGGGTCTTCAAGCAATCAGCTGCCAGTCCCAGGCTTCCAACAGGGTCATGTATAATTAGGGACACAGGGATAAACAGGGCCAGTGTGGATTCTTGAGACAAGAATAACTCTGTTAACTTTTATTAATAGTGTTTAAGTATAACATCCCTAAGAGGGCTACCTTTAAGTTCACCAACTGTTTCTCCAACCTTCTCCCTCACACACAGTATTCAGCTTTAGTTTTAGCTCCTCATGACAACTCTCTGGCAGAGCCGAACCCAGCTGCGACAGCTCCTTCAGCAACACAGCAGCTCCCAACTCCCTCTCCAACAGAGAATACGCCATGCAAAGGCCCTGATATGGTTTATTTCCATATTTCTCTTCTAAAGGCAAAAACTGTAAGAACTTCTCTTCATTTCTCTTCTTAACCCTCAAATGTCTCTTTTTCAAACACTAACACTGCAAATCGAAAAGTTTTGAATCATTCCTGAGATTTGACCACTCTGAATAATAAGAGTTAGGATTCATTTCTTCAACTAAGTGCCAACTGTATGAGGTACTGTGATGGGTACTGGACACATAAGTGTGAACAAGACAAAGGCAGTCCTTGTTATCAGAGCTTAACAATCTGGAACAGTGTTCAATCGAAATATAGTGCAAGCCACAGATGTAATTTAAATTTTTTAGTAGCCACATTTAAAAAGAAACAGGTAATAATATGTTTATTTAATCTAACATACCCAAAATATCATTTCAACATGTAATCTATATTTAAAAATTACTAATTTGTTATTTTACATTCTTTTTTTCACACTAGGTCCTTGGAATCTGGTATGTATTTTACACTTATGGTGTATCTCAATACAGACTGGCCCAATTTCATATACTCAACAGTCACATGAGGCCAGTGGCTACAGCACTGAATAGCACAGGCCTAGAGGATTTCCATCTGAGGGGTTCCAGCTCCCTGATACAAGCTAAAATGGATTTGCCTTTCCAGCAACATTGAATGAAATATGGACTAAAAAAGTGGAAGTCCTGCCTGTTCGTGAAAGATTCACACTAAAAATTAT